GGTACAGGCGCGACACTGAGGGTTGCGATCCGTTGCCGGTCACAAAAAAAGAGACAAAAAGGAAAAAAAAAAAAAGAAAATTTAACTTTAAGTGGAGGAAGGTGGATTCAAATCCACATCTATTGGGTTCTCCAATGAGAGTTAACTTTTAAATTAAACAGGGAAAATATTATAATTGCTGAGGGCTTGGTAGGTGTCAGGGGACAGTGCCAGGCACTTTACAGACTTCATTTACTTAATCCCTATACCAGCCATGCCAGTTAGGGCTAGTAACCCAATTTTACAGATGAAGAAACTGAGTCTCCCAGAGGTTAAGGGAAGCTTTGGTCCTTCCCTTGCCATTGTGGTTAACGTCTTGGGAGTTGGACGGATTACAGTAATCAGCTAATGCCTGAGCAGGGCTCTGAAGATGAAAAGCCCTTATTGAAAGTGCTAAGTATGGTGATTAAGTCGGAAGGTGGAATTAGCCGCACAGGGGGAGCAGGCTGTAGCCATCAAGAGAGGATTAGCGACTTGCTGCCCGATTAAGCGAAAGGCAGGTCAGGAGGGTAAGAAACTGAGAGTGGCTTACACCTTCACGGTGCTGCTCACACCCGAGATGGTAAGTGACTCTGGGCCTGCAAGGCTGCAATCCCGCCCCAATGTTGAAGGCACGGGGCAGCATCCACAGAAAGATGGGCCCCCCGCTCCCTTCAACTTTCTCCCATTCATTCATTCACTCGTCCATCCACCCATTCAACACACACTTATGGAGGTCCTGGTGGGTCTCAGGTGCTGTGCTAGGTATACAGCTGGGGATACAGCTGAGAACAAGATAGAAAGCTCTCATGAAGCTCCCAGCCTAGTGGAGGGAGATAGACATTTAGCAGTAATCACATATCAAGGAATTACTGTTAATTTTTTAGGTTTAATAACAGTATCGTGGTATGTTTTTATTTCTATTTTTAAAGACTACTTTTTTAGAACAATTTTAGGTTCACAGCAAAACTGAGTGGGAGGTACAGAGATCTCCCATATAGCCCCTCTCCCCACACTTGCACAGCTTCCCCCACTATCAACACCCCCGCCAGAGGGGTGCATTTGTTACAACTGAGGAACCTACACTGACTCATCATCACCCCAAGTCCATAGTTCCCATTAGGGTTCACTCTTGGTGTTGTGCATTCTATGGGTTTGGACAAATGTAAAATGCCATGTGTTTGTGGTTATGTCTTATACAAGAGCCCTCATCTTGTAACGATACGTACTGAGATATTTACAGATGAAATGACACAATGCCTCAGTTAATCCAGGGAGGTGGGAGTGAGCGCAGGTGGAGATAAAACAAGACTGGCTCTGACTTGATCATTGTTGAAGCTGGGTGATGGGTACATGGAGTCCACAAAACTCTTGTTTTGGGCCGGCCCGGTGGCATAGAGCAATTTTAGGTTCACAGCAAAACTGAGTGGGAGGTACAGAGATCTCCCATACACCCCCTCTCCCCACACTTGCACAGCTTCCCCCACTATCAACACCCCCGCCAGAGGGGTGCATTTGTTACAACTGAGGAACCTACACTGACTCATCATCACCCCGAGTCCGTAGTTCCCATTAGGGTTCACTCTTGGTGTTGTGCATTCTATGGGTTTGGACAAACGTAAAATGCCATGTGTTTGTGGTTATGTCTTATACAAGAGCCCTCATCTTGTAACGATACGTACTGAAATATTTACAGATGAAACGACACGATGCCTCAGTTAATCCAGGGAGGTGGGAGTGAGCGCAGGTGGAGATGAAACAAGACTGGCTCTGACTTGATCATTGTTGAAGCTGGGTGATGGGCACATGGAGTCCACAAAACTCTTGTTTTATTTTGTAAATGTTTACAATTTTCCATAATAAAAAAGTTTTTAAAAAAACCACAGAGGCACATAAAAAATTACCACTCATGATAAGTGCCATGAAGGAAAAGTAAACGGTGTGATGAGATATTTATTGTAGAGGGAAATGATTTGGATTGGAGGGTCAAGGGGGGTCAGTTTTTGGCAGGGTGAGGCATTGGGGCATCCTTAAGCCCCAGTGATCAGCAGAGTAACCCTTTCTGTTTCTTCCCTCCCTGCAGGGCAGGCTGGCAGCATCCTGGGGCCAGGGTCCTAACTTCTGGGCATCACCAGCAGGCTGCAGGCAGACTGGGGTCCTGGAGAACACAAAACCAGCCCCCGAGTTCACTCATCAGTTGTGATGGAGGGAACAGAGGGAGGTCCCAACTGAAAACCTGTATCCATTACTGCTCATACCTGTATCATGTGTGTACATTGCTTGCCTGCCACGAGAGCAGTGTCCTTGGCATCCTTAGAACAACCTCGGGGAAGGGCAATTGGACTCGCCACTTTATAGATGAGAAAAAGAGGCTCCGAGAGGTGAAAGATACCCACAGTTAGCAGCAGAGGCAAAGACTGAGACTTGCAATCTTGTTAGAGTCCCCTGTCTGCCCCCCAACCTATTAACACAGCCATCATTCCTGGCTCACAGGGAGAGGGCGGGGTGAGGAATTGTTAACAAGAAAGACAGCTGGGACCTCAAGCCACAGGTGCTGTGGGCCCAGAGAAAGAGTGCCATTCCTCTTGAGGGTACAAGCCTAGGGGGGTGAAGGCAGATGATAAGGGAGAGCTATAAGCTTCCTGAAAATGCACAGAACCAAGTGATCTTAGGCCTCCAAACATCAGAGAGAGCAGAGTTTAGGGGTAGCCTTTCCCCTACCCTGCAGTGCCCCCCAGCTGCTGATCTGGCTCGATTTCCAAGTATTTGTGGAAGGAAGGATTCCAGATCTGGGTTAAGGGGCACGTGCATGGGCTGGAGGGTGTACGGATGGGGCCAAAGGGAGCACTGCGTGAAGGATCTTAGATGCTGGCAGTGAGGGAGCTCTCGGGCCAGTGTACCCCACTATTTCAGGTCAGCAATGTCCACAGTGTGCGATCTGGATTTTTCCAAAGTGCACAGCCTGTGGTACTCTTCACAACAAAACTGGATCCCTTGCTTGCTCAAAGAGCAGGAAAGACAAGAAAACAAACTGTGGGCTGGCCCTCAGCTCTCACTGAAGAGCTTACTCACCCTCTAGACTCAAGCAGACACGGGTCCAAACCCAAGAGGTAACCCCCTCCCCGCAAATGGAGGCCTTGTAATGGTGAAGCAGACAATGAAAGCAAAGCATTTAGCAGGGCATTCAGTCCCCAGTGTCAGCCACCAACCTCCTCCTCATGGACAAGGACACCTTCCCTGTTGTTCTCTAAGTTTGTTGTAGGTGATCCCAGGAAGCCCCAGTTGAAAAGTGAGGAAGTGAGATGAGGAAAGGAAGGAGACCAGAAAAAGGTGCGTTATTAAGCAATTGAGCAGGTGACCATTGCAGACAACTGGTACTCGAGCCTACAGGGGAACTCTGGAAACAGTGTAGTAGAACAGTTGTTCTCAAACTGGAGCCCAGACTCCCTAGGAAGGCTTGTTAAGACACCAATGACTGGGCCCCACCCCCAGAGTTTCTGATTCAGTAGGTGTAGGGTAGGAGTAGGCTGAGAATTTGCATTTCTAACAAGTTCTCAAGTGATGCAGATTGCTGCTGGTCTGGCACCACACCCTAAGAACCACTGTTGAAAGTGTCTCAGGGCCGGCCCGGTGGCGCACTGGAGAGTGCGTCGTTTGGGAGCGCGGCGGCGCTCCCGCCGAGGGTTTGGATCCCATGTGGAGACCCGTTCCCGCTCACTGGCTGAGCGCGGTGCGGGCGCAACACTGAGGGTTGCGATCCCGTTGCCGGTCAGTAAAAAAGACAAAAAAAAGGAAAAAAAAAAAAAAAAAGGTGGTCTGGCACCACACCCTAAGAACCACTGTTGAAAGTGTCTCAGCATGATCCTATTCGAGGGATGAGGAGGTTAGGAAATTTATCGACCAACTCCTTGTCCATCGGAATTTGAGTACTGCTTTCTAGGGAATTCACTCTGGCACTCCTGCAGGCCAAACTTGCTAGCATACCCAGAAAAGCCCTAATAAACACAGTGCTAGGGCCCTACCAGCAGGAAGGCCCTTTGTCTGGGATATGGGGTGTGCAGGGGAACAGCAGAGAAGACTGTAAGGTAGTCTGACGTCTGATTGAAAGGTTCCAGTGGAAGCTGAGGGTTGATACCTTTGTGTAGTTTTGTAAAACTAGCAAAAATATTTTGTTGTGAGTTCTTTTTCCATTCTAAATGAGAAACCTTTTTGGTACCTAATTTTATATTTGCAATTTTTTTATTCTTTTCCCTAAGGAGGGCCCCCCAAATTGTCTAAGCTTCAGACCCCATAAAACTTGTATTGGCCCCTGCAGGGGCCAGTAAGAACACAGACTTAGGTTTGCTGAATTAAAATGAACATCCACTGCTCGACTCATTAGGAACACAACCACTTGGGTTCAAGACCCTCCAAGTTCAAATTCCAGCTCTGCCACTCCCTAGTTGAGGTAGTTTGGCTAAGATGCTTTACGCATTTACGAAATAGGACGGTAATCATACTTTCCCTACCAAAGCAGAGGGAGATCAAATTAAATAATTCCTGTAAAGAACCAGGCCTACAAGCTCAACAAATTCAACAAATACGGTTTGTTTTCTCTTATTATTTATTCCCATGGTTTACTCTTCTTTTTCTAATTTGCCTTGATGATCTTCCCTTTCCTTCAAGTCCAGGTAGGAGAGAGAGAACTGGGGACAGGAAAAGCAGCCTCCTCCGGAATTGGCAGGTCGCCTCCCCCTCCTGCTTCCACACCTGCTTGCCCGGCCCTGCTGGCTCTGCACCCCCACCCGGGCGTCCTCCTCGTTGCCGGGTAACCACCGCCCGCCCCGCGCGGGGATTGGCTGTGCGGCCCGGCTCCCGGCGTGCCCCGCGGCTCCCGGAAGCCGAACTCGGCAGTCTGTTTCTTGGCCCGTGGCTGTGGAGCTGCCGGAGACGCCGGCGGGGGCGGCGTTGTGGCCTGTNTGGTGCTGCTGGAGCTCAGAGGAAGAGGAGGAGGGACCTACCGAGTTCATGAAGACAGGAGAAGCCACAATGAGAGAAAGAAGGGATCACTCCAACTGTTTCGGGCTGTGGCCACTTCCAGGCTGGAGCTGCTGAGCACATGGAGCAGGAGCTGGTAAAAGCCACAGCTGTGCCCTTCAGATGAAGTTGCTTGGAGGCGGCAGGGGCGAGGAGGGTCTTGGTGGCCTCCAGGACAGCAAGACTACAAATAGGGTTCCTGTGAACCCATGCAGGAGCGAGGAGCCAGAACATCTGAAAAAAGGAGCCACTCAGAGGCTGGACAGAAATGACCAAGCCACTGTGGAAGTCCCTGGGCTCCTTGGGGGGCTCCCCAAGGAACTCAGCCATGTCCTCCCCAACCAGGCCAGCACCACCTGCCTCCCTCGACCTCTGCTTCCCTCCACCCTCTCACCTCCCCCCCCATTGCTCTCCAACAACATCTTTTAATGTAAAAAAAAAAGTAATAAATAAATTTTAAAAAAAGAAAGAAAGGGAAAGAAAGACTGGATGGATGAATGACGTGGTCCTGTCTCTTAGGAGGCGGCCACAGGCCTCCCAGCTCTGCCTCTCTTGAGGTCTGCTCTTTCTCCTTCCAAACTGGCCACCCCCAGCCTCGTGCCTCCAAGTAGCTGGGACCTCAAGCCACAGGTGCTGTGGGTCCAGAGAAGGAGTGCCATTTCCTCTTGAGGGTACAAGCCTAGGGGGGTGAAGGCAGGTGACAAGGGAGAGCTATAAGCTTCCTGAAAATGCACGGAACCAAGTGATCTTGGGCCTCCAAACATCAGAGAGAGCAGAGTTTAGGGGTAGGGTAGCCTTTCCCCTACCCTGCAGTGCCCCCCAGCTGCTGATCTGGCTCGATTTCCAAGTATTTGTGGAAGGAAGGATTCCAGATCTGGGTTAAGGGGCACGTGCATGGGCTGGAGGGTGTAGGGATGGGGCCAGAGGGAGCACTGAGTGAAGGATCTTAGACGCTGGCAGTGAGGGAGCCCTCGGGCCAGTGTACCCCACTATTTCAGGTCAGCAATGTCCACAGTGTGCAATCTGGATTTTTCCAAAGTGCACAGCCTGTGGTACTCCTCACAACAAAACTGGATCCCTTGCTTGCCCAAAGAGCAGGAAAGACAAGAAAACAAACTGTGGGCTGGCCCTCAGCTCTCACTGAAGAGCTTACTCACCCTCTAGATGCAAGCAGACATGGGTCCAAACCCAAGAGGTAACCCCCTCCCCACAAATGGAGGCCTTGTAATGGTGAAGCAGACAATGAAAGCAAAGCATTTAGCAGGGCATTCAGTCCCCAGTGTCAGCCACCAACCTCCTAAGTTAAACAGACAAATTACCTCATCAGAAGCTGTGCAGGTATGAGTGACAAGTGCAGGTGTCCTCTTCCCCCAGGCTGACATGCAATCTGGTGGGTCAAGGAGTTTCCTGCTAGGTGGTCTGAGAGCTGCCCTGGCCTCCTGCTAGGTGGTCTGAGAGCTCCCCTGGCCTCCTGCTAGGTGGTCTGGGGGCTGACCTGGTCTCCTGCTAGGTGGTCTGAGAGCTGCCCTGGCCTCCTGCTTGGTGGTCTG